TATTTTTGCATGTTAAGTGTTTATTAATTTAATTAATAAGTAATTATCTCAATAGAAATATAATGTATTAAATGTCTATTTTACAAGCGATATCTACTTGAATGTGTATAAATATCATTGCCTTGTCTATATATAAAAATTGAAATGAATAATGTTAGGAAAAAGAAAAGAAAATTGTACTTGTCAACATTACCACATGCCAGGCACCGAACTGTTTCATTGGAGGTGGAAGTAGGAATTATAATATTTTTTTCCATCCACATGAGAAAATGGAGTGGGATGACTTTTATTCCTGGTTCTCATTATATTTATTAATATATATAATTTTAATATAATAAAATTAAAATATTATAATATTATACTTAATATTCATTTTCACTTATTTATTTATTATCTTATATCTTTTAACTTTCATTAATTATCAATCATATTCACTATAACAAAATGCACATTTGGCGACTAAAATTCTTTTCGCGACCAAACGTTTATATGACTTTTGGTGACTAAATATCTTTTAGTTGCCAATACCTTTCCCAACAATCTTCCCGCGACAATTCCGGGTACCAAAATATCTAGTCAAGAAAAATTTTTGGCGACTAAAATCTTTTTTTTGACAACTAAAAATTTAGTTGCCAAAAGTACAATTTCTTGTAGTGATTATTCATAACTTTTATTAGTATCACTATTTTTAAAGTTACAAACTTAATCCATTCCCACCACGCTTTGCCCCCATCCTGCCGTCTCCCTAATTTGCTCTGTCCCAATATGATACAAGGTAAGGATTGTTTTTAATTAATAAAATGATTAACAGATTTACGATAAATAAAATATGAAAGTAAGTAAATTTACTAAGAGTAAGAAGGAGTTGGTCTGTCAGATTAAGAGGCGTGTAGTCACAATACTAAAACCGTTGTTTCTCCACCCGTGAAGATACAATCAGAGTGCGATGGCTCTAAAGTACTACCCAAGTGCTCATAACCTTCCTTATCCGATGTTTACGTCCACCACAAGGACATGAACGAGTCATGAATCAAAGTAACCTTAAAATACAGAAGACACATAAACAATACTCTTCAAAAAAATCTCAATATATACTATATTTATGTATGCTCTTGTGTAATTGTTCTCAAATATTTAAGAAGAAAAATGTTTATATAGGTGAAAATCTCATAAGAATTAATACATAATAATTAATTATTACATAATTATAATAATAAAATGTAATAATATTTTGTAATTAAAATGTTTAAGATAAATATTAATATTAATAACGATCGAACGAATTAAATAAAGATAATTAATTTTATTTTTATTAAAATTTCAACAAGGACATGACATTGCAAACTACTATGGCTTCGTTTGGGAAGTGGGTTGTATTTTTGGTAGTTGTATATTCTCTTGTCAACTCTAAGCCCAAGCAATTATGTCATATCAGCGAAAGTGTGGACTAAGACCATTTCTAGCGTCTTAACTTTTCTTTTATCAAATTTAAATTTGATTAAAATACTTATGAAAATCATGTTTCAATATTGTTATCAATTTGATATTAAATTGAGGATGGGTAAAAGTTTTCATTAAATTAAGAATGAGTAAAATCTTTTATCAACTTATTATAAATATTCGTTAATGTAGAAGCACTGCACGATCGGCCGATTGTTCCCTTGACATCAACTTTTTTTTACAATTTACATTGGCTGGTTGACCGGCCAGACATCCGTTCGATCGACCGTCCGATCAACTGGTGATTTGATGAAAAATCAAAAACCACCATTGGACCGTGTGCAATATCAAATAAAATTTTTACTCAAATTTAATAAAATAAATAAGTAAATGTTAGTGATGCTCTAAGGTCCTACTTTGTCAAGACTTATCTTCCCTTGAAAGTCAACCATCAAAAGACATACTCCCTTTATCCTATCTATCTATCTTCTATGCTATTATTAAGTAAATGTCTAAATTGGTTTAGTGAAACATTCTTTTCGTCGTGTCATGTATCAACTTTATATATATTAAAATAAAAAAGTTATTATACATAATGTAATGTCTAAATTGGTTTAGTGAAACATTCTTTTCGTCGTGTCATGTATCAACTTTATATATATTAAATAAAAAAGTTATTTATACATAATGTAAGTAAGTTTTGAACCCAAGACCTTCGGTTTCATTAAAAACATACTTATCACTTAAGTAATATAAATATTATGATATTAAATTTTTTATTATTTATTTTTATTATTAGTTATCTAAATTGTATACGTATCGCGTGTGCTACCCGCTAGTTTTTATAATCTTTTTTGAAAAAATTTAACTTTTTAAGGAGATAAGTAATTATTATATTTAAATTCAAATTTTAAAATATTAATTTAAAAAATATTTTTTATTCTTATTTTATTTTATAAGAGATAATTTTTAAAAATTTAAAATTGAAAATTTTGATTTTTAAAGTGAACATATATTTTAAAATAATTAAAAATAAAATAATGAACTAATAAAATGAAACAAAACGAGTATAATATTATAAATGACCCACCTAAATCAGTGCTTTGTTGGTTTTGGAAATGATGGGCCTAGCTAGGGGAAGGGCCTAGTCTCTTTTTGCACTACAATTCCAATTCGTAGCTCGAATGTTGTGGCTCGAGAGTGGCCCGAATGTTGTTTTTTATCCTCTGCGGGCGTGTGGTCACTATCCTATTTAAGTCACATCATTTTATTTAAGTCACATTACCTCTCTATCACATCACTTCAAATCTAACTCATATTTTATAAAAAAATCAAAAAATACATTTATTTAAAGCATCCCAAATAAACCTAGATATTATAAATGACACACCTAAATCAGTGCTTTGTTGGTTTTGGATATGATTATCCTAGTTAGGGGAAGGGCCTAGTCCCTTTTCGCGCCATGTTTTATTTTTGATGTACCCAAAAAAGGGTAAGTGAAAACTAGCCGCTTATAATTGGTCCAGATCAAATACAACCTGGTGGTCTAACCTGCAAATTGTTTTCCTTCATGCTGTGCTTAGTTGAGAGATTTATGAATAGATTTAGAAAGAAAAAAGAAAAAGATAAGTGAAATATAAATAAAACATGCTTACATTTTATTTAGTTTCACACACATTTTTCCTTTCTATTTTCAAATTCTTTCTCAAATCTCCTAACCAAATACAACGTTAGTCTTACGTTTCGGTTGGGAAGTTTGGTTGATTTTTGAATTTTTAGCTATTTTATTCAGGTTAAAAAATTTGTTTGAGTTGACCTTTTTGACTTTTGTAAAAGAAAAATGAAATGAAATGATTATGATTTAGATATGATATTTTATCTTATTAGTTTTTTAACATATTTTGTCTTTTTGTGACTAATTTAGCCAAAAAGCCTAATTAACCAACATCCCAAACGACACCTTAGGATAGTGACCTATTACCTGTTTTCTAGTTAGAAATAGCTTAAAAAATGTGATTGATTTGTATTATTTTTGTAAGGTTAATTAGGCCATCTCCAAAGGTTCATCAAACCTTGCATCAGATTTAAAATTTGGTGAAAAAGTCACTTTTTGGAGCTCTAATGGTTTCAGCAAATTGGTATCAAAATGAGAATGGAACAAAAAATTCATAAAAGTGAGAACAGGCTCCAGGTTTCACCATTTTACTGTGCGTGACCGTTGGGGGAGACCAACCGGTCAACCAGCCGGTTGACCTTTCAAATAGGTAGGTTCAAACAGGTCGAAAGGTTCAAACAGGTTAAAAAAAAAAAAAAAAATTATTTTTGCCTTACCGGTCGACCGGCCGGTCAACCAACCGGTCACCCACCTGCAAACAAAACAGCGTATGGATTCAGAGTCTTTGGATGAATTGGGAAGGATGAAGACAAAACAGCGGAATTTCCATATTCCCACCTGAAGAGTCACCCACCTGCAAACAAAACAATTGATGAATTTCCATAATCCCACAAATTTGTAAATTATGTCCACAAGAGTCACCCACCTGCAAGCAAAAAAAAATATATATATATATATACAATTATTTATAGTTATCGGTCGACCAACCAGTTGACCCACAGGATTTGATACAGAATTTGATGAACCGTTGGAGCATGAAATATCAAATTGAGGAAATGGTTATTTTTTTACTCAAATTTGATGAAACATTAGATGAACCGTTGGAGATGCTCTAAATTATATATTTCCCACGACAAACTAATATATTAACATTACTCTTGCACCTAGATAATCTACTAGTATAAATTATATGTTTTTTTTAATACCAAACGTCTTATCTTTTTAATTTATTTTTATTTCTCACAACCTATTAATATAGTGGCTTGGTGTTTTTTTAATTATTTTAATCTGGCAATAAAATATTTATTTGAGTTTATTTTTTTAATTTTTTTGATTTTTATAAAAAAAAATAAATAAAATAATTATAATTTAAATATGACATTTTGTATTATTAACTTTTATTTTATCTTTTATGCTTTTTTAGCTCAACTAAATTAGCTAAACCAAGGCTAAATGGGATCTCCTGTGGATATCTACACTTGTAATTTTATAGGAAACTGATTGTTAGTGAGCTGAATTAAAAGGACACATGTCAAGAGCCATGAGACACATAACAACACTTTGTTGGAGGAACTCCCTCCCTCCCGCAATTTCACAAACCAATTAAACCGTTGAGCTTCACAACCAAATTTGAGCAAAGGTTGTTTTCCCGCCAAATAGTTTTCAAATGTTAAGGCTATTCCGAACAAGTCATGGACATCTCTTTCAAACCCCCCAAATCAAATTCAAAAATCCTAATTTTCTCATACCCATTTCTCATCTTCTCGGAACCCTACTTCTTGATTCGAAGCAAGGTTTTGTATTGAATGATGCTGAGGAGATTCCTTCGACAAAGCCCTTAGAGCAAAGAGATGAATTTGCAAGAGTGAATGTCCAACAGTTTGATCAGAGCAATTCGATGAAGAAATGCAAGATTCAAATTTCGCATCCATGGCCTGAATGGGTGGAATTGATGGAACAATTGTGTAAAAATGGCTACTTTGAAGGAATTGGGAATCCCTACCTGAAAGGTGAATTGGATGTGAAGGATGCAAATCGAATTCGGACTGCTTGTCTTAATTTTGCTCGCGACAGGTTTGATCTTATGAGGTAATGACTGAATAATTTGATGATGTTCGTTTGCTTTATATGCGGTAGCTGTACGAGATTATACTAATTTTGAGCTGTTGGATTGAACAAGAAAAGTGGGTATTGATTTGAATTTTGTTTGGGAGCTTAGTTGTTTGTATATAATTTGGTGTTTTTGATTGTGCATATAACCTGTTTGATGTTGGAACTGAGTGAGAGATTTGACTATATGTGGGGTTAACCGTAGAATTGTTTATATTCAAGTAATGCCAATACTTGTCATATGGTATATTTGGTTTGTGATTGTGAGCAACCATTTCTTGTATTCAGTTCTATTAGAACCTCTCCATTCATGGGTTGTGGCAGTTATGAGTGCCTTTTTTTGCTGAACTTTAAGTCATCTCATATTGGATTCAAATGTAAAATAGAAAAAGAACCATCGCTTATTGATCACAGCAAAGGACTGTTAATTTCAGTTTTGGGTTAATGTTCAAGAAATCAGCGAAGGACTCGTAAGATTTCCCTTATACCTTGCATAAATGAAATTTCTCTTCGGAATGAAATATTCCATTCATAGTATGCCTTACTTCCAGGTACTTTTCAAGGAAAGATATCCAGCTAATTGTAGGATCTGGATGTCTAGTGATAGATAGGAAAGTTATCAACTCAGGGAAGCGTCTAAGGGCACATATGGGTATTGATGAAGGAAATGTATGTGCTGAATTTTTAACTCATCTTTATGCATTAAAGATCATCTTGCCAAGAGACTAGGCTTTCATCAAATCGATAACAAAATTGACTTTCAATAGGTTTGCAGCTCCTGCATTTTGAGGGGAAAGTGCGATAGGGCATATGTAATGGCACGTGATGGTGAAGATGGGCGGACTGTGGATGTGATGCGCATCTTATTAACATATGGACTTGATCCCGTTACCCATGTGGTTGAGAACAAGCCGTGTCTAAATAACTTTGTTAAGGAATCAGTGAGAAGGTTGCTGAAGGTAATGGTAGATCATAGCATGAAGGAACTGAATTCTGATCCCCCAACTGCCACCATTACCAAATGGGACCCATCTATGCAAGAAAGTTCAGTTCACCAAGTACAAGGTCATATCAGTGTCTCAATGAAGCAAGGCGATTGGATATGCTCCAAGTAAGTCCGTCATATCAATTTTGTTTGGAATATTATTTTGTTATATATGACAGTTAATCAATGTTATAGATTTTGTTTTATTCTTTACTTTTTAGGTGCAAGTTTAACAATTTTGCCCAAAAGACCAAGTGCTTGCATTGTGATGGACTATTCCCAGAAAGACTCAGAAAACTAGGAGAGGATCAAAATCATCTTGCATTAAAGAAGGGAGACTGGATATGTTACAAGTAAATCATTGTTCAGATCATTAACTTTTTGTTCCTTGCATTTTCTTTTACTCATTATTGCTCAAATCTTTAACAGATGCAAATTCTTGAACTTTTCAAAGAATACAAGATGTTTTCAGTGCAATGACAAACCACCAAAGCGGCAACTCAATCATGGGGAGTGGGAATGTGACTCGTGAGTTCTCTACTTTCAAATTTATTGGGACATCTAAGATCAATGTTATTGAAAATGGTATGTCTTATATTTACTAAATTTAGCATGTTACAATTAGATGTTATTGTGCAGGTGCAACTACATCAATTTCAGAAGAAACATAGTATGCATAAAATGTGATCATAGACGGCCAAGAGTGTCATATTCTGGAGGCACTTATGCTCAACCTCAACATTGGGGTTATCATCATCCACAGCCTTTTGATGGGCATGAGAGGCCAAGGAGAGACAAGAGGAGTTAATATGTGGAAGTTCTTGGATGATGAAAACAATTACTGTGATGACTCAAAACTAGCCTAATTTGGTCCATGATTTACAGATTTTCCCGGTGCAGGCCAGAGAAATTTCTCTTGGAATACCCAAACCCTGAAAATATTATGGATCTATTGATGATGATGAAGAGGTGACCGAATGGTTTGGAGTCAGAGATAAATACAACCTGGATCTATTATGGAAGATAGATTGATTATGAGGGTAAAGTGATTGAGAAATGGTTCAACTTATCCAAGAGCCTCTAAAAGGTTCAACTTATCATTTCTTTTTCTTTTTTTTTGTCCATATCTTTTTGTTCTCAACTTGTCATTTTGTCCCCCACTTGTCATTTTGTCCCTTGTGTCCTGCTTGTTTTTCTTGGTAGCCAAGAAAAGAAATGGTAAATTGAAATCCTATGACGGGATGTGTTTTTCTTTTCTTTGCTTCTCCATACCCATGTCAGCCGCCATACAAAATATAGAGACAATGTAATCGTTACTAATTTCTATTTGTAAAAATCATCCAACAAAGCTGCACAAACATTTACGGCATGCTACTACTTGTAATTTGTCAATATTAGTTTTTGTTAGTAAGACCCTTCAAATTGTTTCAATCATGTTGTTTCTTGTGCACTTGACAAATGAGTATTATCACACATATTTCACATTTATTATACATGAAATTGTTCATCCAGTGTGGGCTGAATGTCCATACTAACTTGTAAAGCTCTATATATATTATAATCTTTCCTCCCTAGGTTAGGAGAGGAAAAAATAAATAAACTGTTGGAGTTAAGAGAGATAAATTTGGTTTCACTTTTCAAGATTTACTTTTTAGAAAATTATAAGTTTTTTTTCGTTTTTCATATGTTTTTGTTTTCACTGAATTTTTTTAATATCTTAAGCAAATTTTTATTTATTTTTAATCTTTAGTTACGTCTAACTTAATGCACTCAAAAAATATAATATTTGTAAAAAAAATCTTTAAAAAATTTGCTAAATGCCAAAAATATAAAAATCCAGTACATTTTTGTATTCTTGTGTATTTATTGATTTTTTAAAATATTTTTTTTACAAATTACTTTTTAGATATTTGTAAGTAAGGTGCATCTAAAAAAAATAAAAAAATTGTTTAAAATTTTAAAAATATTCACTAAAAATAAAAAATAAAAAATTTAATTTTAAAAAATTGAAACTAAACACAGTGATATTTTGAAGAATTTTTATCATTATGACTGGGAAGGGGTTAAAAAAACAAACCAGTATTGCTGGGATTTGTTTCTCAGGTTTTAATTGACGTTGGATTTTGTTTATGGATGTTCAAATTAATATGGAAACTTAATTTAAAGATAATGTATTTTACATGCTAGTGTTTAAATTTAAATTTAACTTTTCGGATAGAGATAAAGTGTTAAAGATATCATAAAAATTTTAAATTAAAATTTTCAACATCACATTTTTCTAGATGCAAATTAAGATATTATTTTATTTTATTTTTAAAAGCACTTATCTAGTTGTTTGTTTGTTTGTTTATTTATTTATTTATTTTTATCTTTGAATAAATGAAATATGATCTAATAGAATAGAAACTGAGTGTGACATTTTTCAATCTATTTAAAATGTAAAAATTCAAGAATTTTCGGTTGAGATTTTGAAACTATGAGAACTCCAACTCTGAAAATCTCACTTTTGTATATAATATATACTAGTGGTAACCTGTGCTATGCACTGAAAAAATAGACTATGTCTCCGTTTAACAAGTTGGTTTATAGATTTTTTTGGTTATTTTAGCCACAAAGACAAAATAGGCTATCTTAGCCCCAACAAATAAAACATCACATCCAACCCATAATCGTTGCACTCTTCTCTTACAAAAAAATCAAAAAAGCCAAAAAGCCCTTCTCAAACCAAGTTTTTTAGTCCAGACTAAAATAGTCAAAAAAACTAAAAAGCCAAAAAGCCAACCAACTTCCAAGCCTATATACATTTTGTGTGATAAATAAATTATTCTAATTTTAAATTATTTTTAATAGCAGCAAGTCATGATATTAGGTCATCCTGGTAGATGTTAACCATAATTAATCTACAAAATTTCACAATAAAATTTGATATGCATAAAAAATTGTTAATTATAAAGATTATTAGGGATAATAGT